CTTCAAAGTGGCTCCATCCATCCAACAAATTGTCTTCATCCAATAAAGTATCTTTATTCATCAAAGTAATTTCATCCAACAAAGTGTCTTCATTCAACAACTTGGCTCCATCCAATAAAGTCACTTCACTCAACAAAGTGTTTTTATCCAATAAAGTGTCTCCATCCAACAAAGTAAATTCATCCAACAAAGTGGCTCCATCCATCCAACAAATTGTCTTCATCCAACAAAGTGTCTTCATCCCACAAAGTAACTTCATCCAACAAAGTGGCTTCATCTAACAAAATGACTTCATCCAAGAAAATGGCTTCATCCAACAAAGTAACTTCAAAATGGCTCCATCCATACAACAAATTGTCTCCATCCAACAAAGTGTCTTCATCCAACAAAGTAACTTCATCCAACAAAGTGTCTTCATTTAACAACTTGGCTCCATCCAACAAAATTACTTCACTCAACAAAGTGTTTTCATCCAATAAAATGTCTCTATACAGCAAAGTGTTTTCATACAACAAAGTGGCTCCACACATCCAGCAAAGTGTCTTCATCCAGCAAAGTGTGTTCATCCAACAAAGTAACTTCATCCAACAAAGTGGCTTCATCCAATAAAATGTCTTTATCCAACAAAGTGGCTTCATCCAACAAAGTTATCAAGGCTTGTGTCCATTAAGAAAGTAAAAGTGCAGTTGGAGCATATAACAGATAGAGATAGATCAATAGTTAAGAAATAGTTTTTTATTATTTATATTTTTTATTCATTACAGCTATTTATTTATCATATATTCGCATATGGAAAACAAATAAATAAATGTACACCTACAGTGTGGAGAAATTTTCTTCCTTGACAATATCAAGTAAAAGCATTTTAAACACTGAATTGCAAGGAATACAGAGTTTTTAGGAAGATGCTATATATGACAAGTAGTATTTCGATGAAAATCGACCAGTTGTTGCAAAAGTGGGCAATATATCTATCAACAGATTAAATGGAATAAAAGATGTCTGATTTGATATCGATGTTCAACTGTGTGACACACAAGAGAAAATTACTTAGTAACTTTTTACTCTGTTATGACTAATATTTTTTAAAATAATTTATTGTGTTCATTCACAACTTTTATTAACATTACGAGTATCTCATTATTTATTCACCAATTTAAAACGAAAAAGCAGTCGTGTTGAATAAAAATGTAAAGTATTATGGAAAATAAATATTAAGTCTAAATAGAATAATAAATTCGTAAACATAACAAATGCAGTTCATTGAACTGACAAACAAATGAACCTGAGAAAAAATAAAAAAGTAAATCGATATCGAAATCGAAATCGTCTTAAAAATATTAGATATTTTTTTCTTTAGATAATTATCATGTGTTAATGTCTGTCTGAGTTACTTGCTGTCTACATGTCGTATATAATTCTTTTCACATGAAATTAAATGAAATGGAAAATATAAAAATATATGATAAATAAACTGTAAACTTTTATTGGAGAGAGTAGTGAACACACTCAAATATAACATATTTAATTTTTATTCAGTTATTTATGTTGTACATATATAAAAAATATTGGCAGTGGCTTAAATTATAAGTTAAAAGCTGATTTAGATAATTTCAATTAAAGTGATATTTAGTGAATCATAGAAAAAATCAGAGGATAGTGCGAGAACCTGTAGAATATTGGAAAAGAGGTCATAACAATCAACGTAATATCTCATACCTAGGAAGATTTAGACTCCATAAAACTGGACATTCGAGTAAATGTCCATCACTTGCAAAAATCTCTTGAGGTTTGGCTGTGGTACATATGTTTATTTTTTTTAATTTTTTTTACAACTTTTTAATGCAAGAATATTTACTCAACGCTTACTTAAACTTTTGGATATAATAACGAATAACACCTTCTGCAAAAATCCTTTCAGATTGAAAAGAATAAGAGAATGTTAGCCGAAGGAAGTAAATTGTGAATAAAAAAAATTGTATTGTGGTATGTTTATTAAAGACGAATTTCAAAATGAGAACTTTAATAGGAATAACAGCATAATTCCAATTTTCCAGGTACATCGACATGAAAATGAATTTAACTATATCCAGATGTCTTTGAAGTTAATTTTCTTTTTAAATAGTCTTGAAAAAATATTAAAATAATACACAATTATTATCTTATATATGCTCGCTTATATTTTTATTTTTTATTGGGACATGAGCTACTTATCTTTCATCTTGTAAATTTTTTTAAATCACAAAAAAATATTTTAAAAAAAAATTGTATCTCAACATATCCAACATATATGCCCAGCTTTGATCTGGGCAATGAGGACATCACTGGTTCGGAAACTACTCTCCCCTTCTAACAGTAGAAGGTCCTCAACTACCGGTATTCTGACTTTCCTTAAGAAGGCGGAATGTCTACTGTTTGGTTAGTGTCTGTTCAGTGGCGTAACTACATTTTTTAGGCTCATAAACAAATTCTAACTAAGGTTCTTCTACTAACATCTTTTTATACCCTTTACACGAAAAAGTGTAAAAAGGGTATATTAGGCAAGATTTTCATAACGCATTAAAGGAAACGTCGAAAAAACCATATATACTTTTTCAGTTCAAACTACTCTCTCAGCTTTTGAACTCTTCGAATAAAACTTTACACACATACTTTTCGGGAGCGGACCCTGTTCACCATTTGATTTGATTGAAATTGGCCTACTAATTCTTATAGATGTAATTTTATTTTTCCTGACAAATTTTTCCAATCTCGAAATTCAGAACACCATTGATTTGTCTAATTAGAAAATAACCAGCACGGCTTACAATATACTGAATCCAATTCCTTTAAATAGTATTACCAAAGTCGTGACACTATTCCATATTTTATTTTTAAATTATAGTATGAAGCAATGAAACTTCTATTTTTTGAATAGGATCCTTCGGAAATCTCTGGTGATCGGAAGAATTATTAATTAATAGCGTTTAATATCATCAGTAATTTTGACATTAATATAATGCCCATATCAGTTGATTTGCTTATTGTTTCAGTATTTAAATAATGTGTCAATTTATTCTCTGTATCACAATTAGCAAAGCCATCATCTAAATCGTTTACTTCTTCACTTTTGTTTTAATTGATTTTTAGAAAGTTGTCTAGTTTTGATCATTTATTTAATGTTTCTTCTCGTTCGTTTTGCTCTTTTCTTTTCTTGGCTCCACTTAAATGTCAACACAAAAATATTTTAAAGATTTTCTTGAAATTACAAATGCAAACTTGTTCGTAAACCAAAATTTATTTTATTCCAACAAAAAACGTTTCGTCCCACTTTTGAGAATTTATTAAAAATAAAGCGTTTTTCCAGTCGCTTCCCTGTAGTTAAGCCACTGAGTCTGTTGCAGCACAAAACATCAAAAATGGTCGCAATGCTCTGCTCCGTTGGGAGCTGGTACCCCGTTTATTCCTATCCCTATATCCAACATATTATATTTATAATTCTTATGAGCTTTGCTTATAATATAATATAAACATATCTCTACATTGTTATATTAAATTATAAATTTAATATATTACCTTTTGTAACCTAGTAGCATCTACTTCAACAATACTGTCATCAGCATTGTTCGTGGTTAATATACTTAATAAGCTCAATGATAAAACAAATAATGAATATGTATTTAAAATAATTTTATTATGTAAAGAGAATAAGAAATTATGTGGAAATATTTTTAAAAGGTATTAAAACAAACTACATATTTCCAAAAAAAAATATTTTGTCATTTAAATTAGCAACTATTACATATTACAAAAAATATATAAACAATTTTTTTTTGAATTTAAGTATATATATAAATCGCATACAAATATATTTGATTATAAAGAAATTTTTTTAGTTTATTTGTATACATTCAAATACAATTAATTAGAAATTAATGCAAAATTTTAATTAAAGTATAAATTTTAAAATACATATTGAAGCACGCAACATATAAGTAATATGTAATGGTGATATATATTGTTTAATATTGAAATTCAACAATTTTTATTTAGGCATATAACTGAGAAGAATTATTTAATTGTGAATAATAATATACTTATATAAATAAATATATTGGTATCACAATTCATTCCTTTTACTAAAAATCGAAAAAATATTTTAGAGTTTATACCTGTTTTTTTAAATTTATAAAAAAGTTTATATATCATTTCTATAACTTTTTCTAAAAGTAAATAATAATGTTTGTTTCCAGTACAAAAAATTATAACTAAAAATATACAAAAATTAACTTAAACATAAATTTGTATGAATAATCTATTTTCAATACACATTTATATAAATATTACAAAATAACATTTAACACTAATATCCATTGTAATTATCATCAGTTTAATTCAAAGTTGTTTTGTTTTCATATAGCATATATAATTTTTGAAATGTCCTACTCAAATTAGTTGACATAAGCATATTATTTTGTTAAGATATATATATATCTATTGCATAAATAAAAATGCTATATATTCTAACTAAAAATGACTTTTCAACATTGATAGTTTAATTTAACAAAATATACAATATAAATTATTTATAACAATATTATATATAGTTTTGTGGTTTATTTATTTTTGTTTTAACTATTTAGTTTATTTTAAAACAATTGCAATTGGTATATGTTATTAGAAAAATATTTTATTCAATCTATTTCAGTTAATGAGTCAAATATCAACTTAAATTATCACATTTTTTTAAAAATTCGAAATTTTCTTTTCGTATTTTCAAAATACAATTTATATACTTGAACACATAGACAAAATATCTTAATATTTTAAACAAATTTTGATTGAAATAAAATTGACTATTTCTATGCATATTTATGTGCAGCAAAGTATAAAAAACTTAAACTAAACAATTTTTATTTATAAAATTTTCAAATCAGTGCAAATAGTTTATAGCATAAAATTCAAAAATATTACTCTAAATTATAGTAAAATAAAAAAAAATTTAGTTTAAATATGGGGAAAATTTAAAGAATTAAAATATTTAGTCTCTGATATATTTTTAAATAATTTAATTCATAGTGTCATAGATGTCAAATCTTCACATCGTTAGTTGAATTTGTTGCTGGTTTACTAGCATTCATTTTTGCTTTGACTTTGAGTAACAATTCTTCAAACGAATCTTCTTTCTTAATTGGTTCTGGTGCACATGGAAATACCACAGATTGGTATGTGTTAATGCCAGCATTATCTGAAATAAATTAGAGCAAAAATATAATAATGACATTTCAAACAATAAAAAATCAGGGCTTCGAACCGGAACCGAAACGGAAAAAATTCCAGTTCGAAGTCCTGTAAAAAATTGTATGGTGACAAAAGGCGTCAAACACACATCTAACTCATTTATCATATAAATGATCAGCTCTTTTTGATATTAGCATATTAATATACAACGTGTTATCAAAAAAATCTTAGTATCTTAATACATACTGAAAATAGACCCATACAGATTTTTTCTGTTCTGTACCAAGTAGTTACCTACGTAAGTGAAAAAACATTAAAGCCTAACACTCTGTATAAAAATTGTATCTCAACTTATGTGATAGTGGTATCATATAAGGTATGTAGTTTAAAAATGAATGATGTATAATCTGTGCTATGATTTTAGCGGAATTAGATAAGAATTCAAAACAAAGAGAATTAAGTGTGTTTTACTCAATATAAACTAATAGATCCTATAAAGACTAAAGTGCTAGAGAAGCGATACCAAGTGGTTTTAATTAACATATATTATAAAATTACATATGTGTTTTTAAATTAAATAAATTAGTTAAATTCTATTTTATAATTAATAATATGTTGTACTTAACTATTAATCTCATTGCTAAGTATATGTCATATTTTACTAAGTTTTAAAAATGATTTATTTTCTCCAAAAACAAAATCTGATTAAAAACCGACTACCCAACATTAATAAAAAAATTTTTTCTCAATTAAATTTTACATTTTATATAATAAATTTATGATTTTATATATTTTTTTCTTACCCAAATCTGCATAGGAAGCTCTGCAAAATGCACGTCTTCCACCAAAACTTATATCGTACATATTAATTAGTGGATCACGTAGGCTATTATCAATCACTGCAAAAGCATCTTGAGAACGCTCGTAGGTAACGAATCCATACTTCATACTAAAAAGAATATTTTATAATAAATTAATATGTAATATATTAATATAAAATATATCTGTATTTAACTTACCCATTTTCTTTATAATGTATTGTAATTTGTTTAATAGTACCATATGTCAAAAATTTACGTCTTAATAATTCTTTTGTGGTCTCCTCCTCAATACGTCCCACATAGACAATGCGTCGCTCCTCAACAGCTAAAAATTAAAAACAAAAATGTATCAAGCAAATGAGAAAAGTATATGCAACATTTTCATTCGTTACTAAACTTACCAGGTTTTGGTGCATTATTTCTGCTTTTAAAACTACATTTTCTTGTACGTGTACGTTTATCATAAATCGGACTTCTACTTCTATCACGACTATAACTGCAGTCTGAATGATCACTTGAACTAGATGATGATGAACGAGTAATTTTTCTTGAACGTTGTTTTTGACTAGCGAAACGCTTTGAACAATTAAAATTTGTGCGTTCAGAATCGGAATATGAGGAACTGACAGAACTGCGATGACGACGACTACTACGTGAAGAATAGCCACCAGCATTATCAGTAAAGCGTGAACGTTCAGCTGAAGATGTTGAACCATTTAGCTGATTAACATGTCCTGGTGACAGTGAACGATCTGAATCACTTGAAGAGTTTGAAATAACAGAATTTATGTCTTCCCGTTTTCGATAATTTCGACTTGTTTTATTAAGTCGTGTTTTTTCACGTGACCTGCGTGTATTCTCTATTTTTTTTGGCATGGGTAATACGGGAAATTCCAATATCAGATCGGTTTGCGTACTTATGCATCGTGTTAATTTTCGTGTTCTGTTCTTCGGTAAGTGCATAATAATTTTGTCCTCTCCATGTTGTATCATATTTTTGGATTTATTATCAGTTTTATTTGGAACACTAATCTTGTCAGTAAGGAGTGTGGTTATTGGTAGAGGCAAACCTTTGTTTGCTACCACATTTTGTATACTGGCTATAAGTGAATTCTGTGAAATAGTTATATTTTCAGTAGCTTGAACTTTTTGAAAAGTATCTGAGATATTGTAAAGTAAAACGTTAGACTTTAAAAGAGAGCGTGAAATATCGCTATAGTGTTTATTTTTCGGTGGTATCGTGATATCAGTATTACAGCTTGTTGATAACAGAATTATTTCTTCATAGTCAGAATGTGTTTTTAATGGCACATTTAACGAACTGTTCGACGTACTATGTTGTTCTGCAATGAAAGTACCTTTCATAAGATCTTTTAATGGCAATATTTTAGTTACTTTTGGCACTTTCGATGATACTGTTGAATCAATTATTTTTAATTGTTTTGCCTTTTTGATCTCTTGCATACGCAATACTTTATTCTTAGCTTCAGTTATAGGGTCTATAGGAATTTTTTTATTTGGTTGTTCTCTAAGACTTTTTACAATTGATGTCACTGCCTCACTGTGTTTTGTGGGTGAAATTGGTACAACTTTGGTTCCATTGTTGGTTATCTGAGTAGTTTTAACAGATAAAATATTGTTATTTATCTTTGGAATCTTATAAGATTGAGGTAGTGGAGTGGCAATAGTATTTCCAACACGTCTCATCTTATATTCATTTAGATCCAATTTTCTTTTCATGGCTTGTATTTTATCTTCTGACATTTCTGACTTCTTTGGTTCTTGTATTGATGCTTTTTCCGAAACACTACTACATTTTTCATCAGCTCCACTATCAGTCTCTCGCTGATGTTTTAATAGTGACAGGTTTTTACCACCTCTACCTATTCCAATATTCACTTCATTTATACTTGTTACTGATTTAGATAAATCCGTAGTATTCTTAGCTGCTAATTTACCATTACGCTGTGTATTTATATTTGGTTTACCATTTCCGCTACCAAATCTTTGTTTTAGGAAATCAATTTGTTTTTTATTGGGCACATTTGAAATGGGTTTTTGTTGGTTAGCTACAGTTACTTTAGAAGTTTTAGCCTGAAAATTAAATTATTATTAATTTCTTTATTTAATATATCTATTTTACCTCTTTTGTAATAATAGTAGTTTTTTTCTGCATTGTTGGACTCCATGAAGGATCTTCTTTTACATTATCGATATATTGCACATCATCAACTTCTGTCTTTACACAAGATAAAAGGCTTTTATCTTCCTCCTCGTTTTCCACGGTTTCTACATCGACTATAATATCGGATTCCGAATCTGAATCTGAATCCTCATATTTTAAAACTGCAGCTGAGTTTTCTAATTTAACTATTTGTTTTGATTGAATTAGATTTTCTTCAATCGGTATTATATCGTGGTGACTATTATTTTCCTCATTTAAATTGAAATCATCTTTTGTTATGAATTCTGCTAAATCAAACGTATTTGGATCGACTTGAAGACCATCCGCATCTGAGCCACTTGTGTTTGTACTTATTGTACGATTCTTTTCTACAATTAGATTTTCAACAGGCAAATCTAAATTTTTATCCGATAATATAGCCTCTGCTTCAAATAAACTAGTTACAAATTCATCCTCCTCATATTTAACCATATTAGCATCAAAATCGTAAACACCATCTTCTATACTATATACGCTATATTCATTTTCTTCTACATCATTGTAATTATCATCAACATTATTATTATCTTCATCATCATAATCACTTGTATGTGATTCATAGTCTCCTATTGAGGAACTTGAGGTACGTGTGCGAAACGTATTATCACTGCATATGCTCTGACAATCTATATTATCAATATTATCATATTGAAAATGATTATTAACTGCATTATTTATATCGCTGTCATTTTCATTATCATCTTCAGGTGCCAGCTGAACATTTTTGTTTTTTTAAAATTTATTGTTAAGTATTAGTTAATACAACATTCTGTTTTAGGTGACAAAACCTACCATATTTTTTAATTTTGTATTTGTATTTATAACGTCTCTTTCAATACTTTGAATATCATCTTTGACCATTAAATTACTGTAAATGTCTGTGTCGTCTTCTACGGCCCCAATAGGAAGTATTCCATTCAAGGTTTCAGTTAGTTGTAAACTCATATTACTAAAATTATAATATAATAATAATTAACTAACATACACTTTAAATAAATTATATATAAAGACTTACTCGCAATCATTGGTCCAAAATTCTGTACCATTCTCATATTTTGCATAGGGTTCGTCAAACGGATCATCGCGAAAAACGTTCAAAAGTCTTGAATCCATGGTGGGAAATTATTTAATCTGTCAATTATAAGATGATTTCTCGTTTTATTTTCTGTTTATAATTAACAAATATTTATATGCAAATTAGAACCTTATGTTTCTACTAAAATCTTAGACAATGTATAAATTTTTGAAAATGGCGTATATGTTTAATGACGTATATATAAACATATTAACCTATGTTTTAAATTTAAGACTAGTATTTTTTAAAATTTTTGTGGTTGAGATATCACTTAAGGTCCACTTAAAGCTTTAAAAAATTTTATGTAAAATTGATTATAATTTTTCCAAAAAATAATCAGATCAGTCGCATATTTCTCCATTTACGAATTCTGATCATTCACCTTTGCCATAAACACACATCCTGGTCACCTATGTTCGAACAATGTGTCCATGATTTCTTCCATAAATCTTTTATTTTTACTCGAGCAGTTTTTCATTAATTCATAAAATTCATAACGGCGAGTTTTCCTTGTCAACGTTATACTATAGTTAACAACGCCCGTTCCTGGATGTCCTATGACCCATATTGAGAAACACAGTTTTAATACTAAAGCATTATATTGTATAATAAGTATATATGCGTTTGCAGCAATCAATTTCCTTTTGAAATACAAGATATAGTAGACGTATTGGTCTCTAACCAACCAAGAAAACAGATAGAGTCAACCCCCTATGTAGATTTTATAATAGTCAGTTATGTAATAATTTATGAGCGGGCTAATGATCATTTAAATAAAAATAAAAACAATATAATTTATTATTTATATTTAAAACAAATTATATTTTATTAAGATATTTTCCGATAATTCGACTTCGATAATCATCTTCAGGAAAACTAACAAAATATACAATGTGAGAAAAGAATAGTCAGTTATGGGAATTTAAGAAATGCTTAAAGTTTTTTTACTAACACAGAACAACTCTTGTTTCTGAGCAATCATAGCTCAATACCTATGATTAAGGAACATATGAACATGGAATTAAGTAAGCCTCTTCAGATCTCATAATCTAAGATCTTCTTAAAGATTAATTCAAATAAAACAAAAAGCATATTTTGACTTAAATTAACATTATTAAGATTAACAAATTAAACTACATGTTAGTTAAGTAACTAGTTATCGTTGTTTTAAACTTTATAAACTATACAAAACAATATATGCGAAACAAAAAAAATATGTTAATGCCCCAGATATATGTAGAAAATGTAATTTCCAGTAACAACATAACGATGATTGCTGTAGAGAATTTTAAATTTTTCAAAAAGGTTTTTCCCATTTGCTACTGAAAGCACGATTTATACTAGCTCCACTAAAACAAGCAATTATCGCAAACCGAAATATTCGAAAACCGCAATAGACGTTTCCTCAACATACAAGTGACTGTACGCAAAAATATGTAATATAATTTATCTTATGGAAACTGATATATAACCAAATAATTTGTCCGTCACTTCTATATGGTTGTGTAGCGTTTAGCAAAGCTTCAAACACTACTATTCATCAATTAGAAATTGCACAAAGTCAGGCTCTAAGAAGACTTTTCAAAGTTCCTTGGTATATTAGGACGAATGACATCCTTAGGGACCTCAAGATTGATCCCATCAAAAAATACATAAAAGATAGAGCCTTGAAATTATTTGCGAAATCTGACAGACTTACTAACACCGCGTTATCAAATCTCAGAATAGTTACAGGCTCCTCGGGGAGGTATGCAAATCTGATATCAATTATTACTTAGTCTGATGATGAGATAAATAATAATCCAGTCAAGGCACAAAGAGGGGTTTTGAAGAAACCTCGCAGTTAATATAGAGCAAAAGTGCTCAGGTGCACTAACTCAACTTTCCTCAACATAATAATA